CGCATGGTATTATTTGACAGGGATGATGGCCCTGGCAGGTGCGCAACCGTTGTTGCAGAAGTTCGAAAAAGTTGCTCGCAAAAGCCCGTTTGACAGAAATGATTAAAAAGTGTTGGGTTTCCTACGAATCCGCAAGAGCGCGCGGGATGAAAGTTTGACAATTTTTTTTGAAAAACCATTGGTTTTTTGATGTTTTTATGTTAAAATCGCTACGAAAACTAAGGTTTTGGAAGGATTTCGTCTTGCGCGCGCGAATGTCCACTTTACCTTATTTTTTGCAAGGGATTCTTGAAGTTTGGTTATGTTAGAACAAGAAATGTCCACTTTAGCTTATTTTTTGCAAGGGAAAACCGATCGTAACAACACAACCGGATCCGGACCAACCCGTTTTGCCTGAGACTTCCTCACGAAAATGATGAAAATGAGGCTGCGGCCTAGGCGCGGCGGGGGGGTCGCGCACCAGGGGTCCCAACAAGAATTATTCTTAAGAAGAAATAATGTTCAACAACAACATGACTGCGAGTCCCTGGAGGTCTGGGGGGCGGGAGGTTGAGGGCCCCCTTGGACCGAGACGGCTGCGGAGAGGAGGCCGGGAGGAAGCGAGGACGATCAAGAGGAGCCCCAAGTGCCAGTCGGGGAGGAGGGCGTGCTTGGGAGTGGTGTTTGACCAGCACCCGAGCAGGATCAGGAGGGCGGGGCCGAGCGCGACGAAGCGGGAGGCAGCATGCCACGAGCGCGAGCTCGACGCTTTGCGGCAGGAAGGAGGAGGACAAGAGGAAGGGGAGGCCGAGTAGGAGCGAGTAGGACGAGGGGGGGGGAGAGCAAGGAGGGAGGAGCAAGAGGACCAGAGTAAACCCAAGGTTCATCAACCGATGCTGCAATACACCTTCCCGTCCCACGTCCCCTTCTCAAAACGCCATACAACAATTATTTTCCACTGCGGGCGCCCCTCCTTGAATGACGAGCGGCCCGTCGGTCCGCCGGTGAAACGAAGGCGCCCGCTGGAAAGGAGGATCGTCGTCCCTCCACTTGAACGACGCCCAAGGTAACCCCATGTTGAAAAGCACCCCCGCTTCGAAAGAGGAGCCGCCCTCCATCCGTGATAGCTGTTGCACAATTTGGAACGCCAGGCCGTAGAGATCGAGGAGGGGTCAAGTCAGTGTAGATGGTGAATGTTGTATGCGGATGCGCGAGAGGCGAAGGGGCGGCCCTCATACGGTGGGGGCGTTCACTAAGGAATGTGATCGGGAGGCTGCAGACTGGAGAGTTGCCTACCTGATGAGGGAGGCTGCGATGTCCATGGCTGATCCACGGTTGGATTTCCACCAGCTTCCAAACCCGGGATTCCTTCTCCCAGGGTTCCTTGTCCAGTGCCCCCACCGTCTTGGAAAAGACTCGCCATCCACGCGCGCAGCCAAGGATAATTTGGAACTCGAGTACGCACGGCACCGAGGCGAGAACCCCTTGTTGAAAACGGCACACCCTCTAACTGTTCTTTGGTTGTGTAAAACGAAGGTGTACGGCGCCAGCAAAGCGAGAGCATCACTGTGAAGACCGCTTGTGGCCCACGCGTCAACGCGATCCGAAATAATCTGATGTTTAGAGCCTCCTTCGGCGACGAGGACGCTGAAAATGAGCATGTGGCCGGTGTTGCTGCTGGAAGCAACTGCGGGCCTGAGAGCGCTTGGGGAGGGATTGTCGCGTCTGGGAGCGCCTGGGGGCGCCTGGGAGCGTTTGGGAGCGCCCAGGACCGCCTGGGGGGCGCTTGGGTCCAAAATCAGAGTCGGCGGAAGTACCCGAAACGTATCGATGTATCGTGTATGTGCTCTCGATGTATTGTTTCTGCCGTTTGTGCCCTTCGAGGCCACGGGGGGGTCGATGTTGAAGAGCAGCTGATGTGCACCGGATAAATGTGTTTAAATAGGATGGTGAGAGTTGGGTCGGATGGCTGTGGATAGGATGGTGAACGTTCGGTCGGAAGGATGTTTCATTTGATGGTGAAGGTTGGATCGCACGGATGTACACCAATGGAATATGTTGGATAATGTGGTGAGGGTTGAGTCAGATGGACGTGCTGCTTACATAGGATGGTGGAGGTTGGGTCGTATAGGTGGGATCTGGATTGCACGGTTCGCATAGGATGTTGCATCGGATGGTGAGGGTAAGGTCGCATGGGTGGGCGCGGCGCTAAGGCAAGAGCCACCTTTTGAAAAGGAACAGGGCTCCACCCTTGAAACTGCTGCAAATGCTTACAACGAATGTGCGCGGCGCTGATGCAAGAGCCACATGTTGGAAACGAACCGGCCTTCATCCTTCAAGCTGCTTCAAGGTGTTAAAACGAATGCACGCGGCGCGAAAGCGAGAGCCACATTTTGAAAGCCAACCAGGCTCCATCCTTGGTCCTTGCTTTGATGAGGCAGTGCCCCGCGTCTCCTCTCCTCCTCTCCGGCACACCCCTCACACGCTTGGTGGCCCCATACGGAGCTCCTCCGAAGGACCCAGTGGCTGCGTCCACATGCGGCCGCCCCAACCACTTCGGCACACCCCTCACACGCTTCGTGGCCCCATGGGGAGCTCAGCCGAAAGTCCCAGTGGCCACGTTCGCATGCGGCCGCCCCACCGATTTCGGCACACCCCTCACACGCTTCGTGGCCCTATGGGGAACTCCTCCGAAGGCCCCAGTGACCATGTCCACATGCGACCACCCCACCCATGTCGGCACACACCTCACACACTTCGTGGCCCCATAGGGAGCACCACCGAAGGCCCCCGTAGTAGCCATGTCCCCATGCGGCCGCCCCATCAATTTCGGCACACCTATCACACGCATCGTGGCCCCATAGGGAGCTCAACCGAAGGCCCCAGTGGCCATGACCACATGCGGCCGCCCTCCCACTTCAGCACATTCCTCGCGCGCTTCGCGGCCCCATTGGGAGCTCCACCGAAGGCCCCAGTGGCTATGTTCGCACGAGGCCGCCCCAACCAGTTCGGCTCACCTCTCACGCGTTTCGTGGCCCCGTAGAGGGCTCCACCGAAAGCCTCAGTTGCCATGTTCGCACGCGGCCGTCCCACCCATTTCGGCACACCCCTCACACGCTTCGTGGCCCCATGGGGAGCTCAGCCGAAAGTCCCAGTGGCCATGTTCGCATGCGGCCGCCCCACCGATTTCGGCGCACCCCTCACACGCTTCGTGGTCACATAGGGAACTCCTCCGAAGGCCCCAGTGACCATGTCCACATGCGACCACCCCACCCATGTCGGCACACACCTCACACGCTTCGTGGCCCCATAGGGAGCACCACCGAAGGCCTCCGTAGCCATGTCGGCCGCCCCATCAATTTGGGCACACCTATCACACGCATCGTGGCCCCATAGGGAGCTCAACCGAAGGCCCCAGTGGCCATGACCACATGCGGCCGCCCTCCCACTTCAGCACATTCCTCGCGCGCTCCGCGGCCCCATTGGGAGCTCCACCGAAGGCCCCAGTGGCTATGTTCGCACGAGGCCGCCCCAACCAGTTCGGCTCACCTCTCACGCGTTTCGTGGCCCCGTAGAGGGCTCCACCGAAAGCCTCTCAGTTGCCATGTTCGCACGCGGCTGTCCCACCCATTTCGGCACACCCCTCACACGCTTCGTGGCCCCATGGGGAGCTCAGCCGAAAATCCCAGTGGCCATGTTCGCATGCGGCCGCCCCACCGATTTCGGCACACCCCTCACACGCTTCGTGGCCCCATAGGGAACTCCTCCGAGGGCCCCAGTGACCATGTCCACATGCGACCACCCCACCCATGTCGGCACACACACACACACACCTCACACGCTTCGTGGCCCCATAGGGAGCACCACCGAAGGCCCCCGTAGCCATGTCCCCATGCGGCCGCCCCATCAATTTGGGCACACCTATCACACGCATCGTGGCCCCTTAGGGAGCTCAACCGAAGGCCCCAGTGGCCATGACCACATGCGGCCGCCCTCCCACTTCAGCACATTCCTCGCGCGCTTCGCGGCCCCATTGGGAGCTCCACCGAAGGCCCCAGTGGCTATGTTCGCACGAGGCCGCCCCAACCAGTTCGGCTCACCTCTCACGCGTTTCGTGGCCCCGTAGAGGGCTCCACCGAAAGCCTCAGTTGCCATGTTCGCACGCGGCCGTCCCACCCATTTCGGCATACCCTCACACGCTTCGTGGCCCCATAGGGGGGCTCCAGCCGAAAGTCCCCGTGGCCATGTTCACATGCGGCCGCCCCACCGATTTCGGCACACCCCTCACACGCTTCGCGGCCCCATAGGGAATTCCACCGAGAGTGATACTCACAATGACGGCACTCGCAACGGCATGTGGTACGAATGCGCGCGGCGCTAAGGCGAGCGCCACATTGAAAAAATGAGTGCGTACGGTACCTTACCATATGCAGTTGTGAGTACTGTCGTCGTGGGTCTTATGGGGCCACGAAGCGTGTGAAAGGTGTGCCGAAATGGGGAGAGGCAGCCGTGCGGGCGCTGCCGCTGCGGCCTGGGGTACAGCTCCCTACGGGGCCACAGAACGCGTGCTGGAAATTGGGCGGGGCCGCCGTGTGTTACGGGGCCACGAAACGAAGGGACCACGAAGCGTGCAAGGGGTGTGCCAAAACAGAAACATGCGGAGGGCAGAGGCAAGGATACGAGAGGGAATGAGGGGGACGAGAAGGGAGGTGAGGTAACGCGGGGCGCTGTCCCTTCAAAACGAGGACCCACCACTACAGGAAGGCTCGGGAAAAGGCTCCACCATTGCGTCTATTGCAAGTCACGCCTGGTAGTGCGACCGGGAGGAGCTATCGATTAGGAAAAATAATGGAAACGGAGGAGGAGGAGGAGGAGGAGGAGCAGGGAGGAGGGAGGAGGAAGAAGGGAGGAGGGAGGAAGGAGGAGGGCAGAGACGACGACGACGACGACGACGACGACGACGACGACGCCGACGACGACGACGACGACGACGACGACGACGACGACGACGGCGACGCGGCCTGCAGCGCGGCGGTCTGGTTCTCGAGCTCCGCCCATCGCTCCTCCTGGGCGGCCAGCTCCACGGTGGCGGGGGCCCCCGCGGGGCCCGCCTGCCGCCGGGCGGGCGGGCGGGGGGGGGGGGATGCGACAGCGACGACGAGGAGGAGGAGGAGGAGGAGGAGGAGGAAGGGAGGAGGAGAGGAGGAGGAGGAGGGGAGGAGGAGGAAAGGGAGGAGGAGGAGGAAAGGAAGGAGGAGGAGAGGGAGGAGGAGAAGGAGGAGGAGGAAGAGGAGGAGGAGCAGGAGGAGGCGGAGGAGGAGGAGGAGGAGGAAGAGGAGGAGGAGGAGGAGGAGGAGGAGGAGGGAGGAAGAGGATGAGGACGACGACGAGAAAGGAAGAGGAGGAAAAGGGAGGAGGAGGAGGACGAGAAAAGAGGAGAAGGAGGAGGAGGAGGAGGAGGAGGAAAAGGAGGCGAAGGAGGAGGAGGAGGAGGAGGAGGAGGAGGAGAGAGGAGAAAGGGCTAGATCTGGATGGTGGCATACATCGGTGAGGGCACATGCTTAGAGGAAGAAAAACAAGGTAAGCATAAACTTGCAGACGTCTGCGCGGATTTCTTGGATCGGCGCTGGACCCCTCTCCCTCGAGCGCGGAGCGCGCCAGGGGTGGTGCCACCAGCCTCACCAGGGGGGTCCGGCACCGCTCCGATAAATCCACGCGGCCCTGCCAAAGCTTTTCATGCTTGAATGCCGTTTTTTCCTCCCTCTTCGACAAGCAAACAACCGTTGGCCCGCACAGGGGTCGGGTGGCTGACTCGCTCATGGCAAGCACTGCCGACGATCGGGGCTGTCTGAAGGGACCCTGAGACACACAAATACATACACACAAATGAAAAGATTCCCCATACTTTCCCATGTTTTCTGGGTTTCTGTTTTCCCCCCACTTCCCATATTTTCCCATGTTTTCATGGGAGTCGACGATGAACTGTGTCTGTGTGCTTTTCCCCTCCTGACTGTCGCGACGGCGCCCCCACGGCAGCAGGAGACCGCAGGCGGGGCTCGTCGAGCTGACCCGGCGCTCGCGGGTGGATAGGCTGCGTGGCTGCCGGGAGCAAGGCTCTGCCCCTGGTGGGCAGGCCCAGACGGGGCCCCAGGGCACACAAAAAAAAATACACACGAATAAAAAGATCCCCCATATTTTCTTATATTTTCTGGGGGTTTGTCTTCCCCCCCACTTCCCATAGTTTCCCACATGTTCTGGGTAACCCGCGATTCATTGTGTTTGTGTGTTGTTTTCCCTCCTGATCGTCACGCGGCGTGCGCTCCCGCCGAGACCCTGATCGCACGTCCTGGCCTGGCCACGGACACACCCGGCCTGGTCGTCCGCAGGCGCCTGGCCCTTCCAGAGGGCAGAAGGTCCACCCCAGCAAGAATCACCCCGACGAGCGAAGCCGTTCAGCAGACGCACCCACAGAAGGAATCGAACATGATGGGCCTGTTTTCCACCACCACCACCACCATAAGTTGGAGGGGGAAAGGAGGGGGAGGAGGAGGAGGAGAAGGAAGCCTCTCCTCAGCTCCGCCCTCCCTCTCCTTGGAGGAGGAGGAGGAGCAGGAGGAAGAGGAGGAGGAGGAGGAAGAGGAGAAGGAGGAAGAGGAGGAGGAGGAGGAGGGAGGGAGGGAGGCAAGGACCCTTCAGACGCTCTTTGATCATGAGAGCCCGCTGCCGATCAAACGAGGTGGTGGCCAGGTGCGACCGAGCCAAGATCCACTCGCCTCCGCTCGCGCCCTCCGCCGAACGGCCAGCACAGGAAACCGCGCAGGCCGATAACTCTCAGCCGTCGGCGTCCAACAACGCACGTTGCTGGACCAGCTTCGCCTCGGTGACATGAGTCTCGGCGAACGCCATGATGCCGCAGTTATGTTTTATTCTCGGCCAAGAACTTGTGGACGCGAGAGCCCCACCCCGTGACGCTGGCAAAGAAGATCGACGCATCAGCACGATCAGGGGGTTGCTGCTTCCTCTTCGGGGTGGGGTTGACTGCATGCGCTGGAGCATAGCACGCGCCACTATCATCATAGTATAACTCGGCCCGAGGGACCGCATCGGGACCAAGGGGGTCCCTGAACTCCTGCTCAATGGCCCTCGCCGCGCCCCAGAGGCGGCTAACCTCCACGCGCCAGTGGGCGAGGTCCTCCATCTGCGACAGGCGGTCCACGTGAAAGGTAACTGCTGTTCTGAGCGCAGCTGACCTGTCGCACACCTCCTCAGCTTCCGCGATCGTGCACTGAGTGGTGAGGAGAACGAAGAGCGTGCACGACTGCCGCCACCCGGCCGCTCCGCTCTCAGGGCCCTGATGGTTATCAATCCAGTATGCTGCTCGCTTCTTCATATCATCAGCAAGTTGCTGCTGTGGCGACGGGAGCAACTGGGTCGGTCCACCAGTGCCAGCCTGCATCACCTCCGAAGGAGATCTCGGAGCTGCAAGCGAAGTAGAAGGAGCCTCTGCCGATAGTGTAGAAGGTGCCACGTAGCTAGCTCGTGTCCCCATACCCGAAGAGCGGGCCAGATGGTGGCCGCCTGCAATCGACGAAGTGGGAGCCGACGCCGATGGAGCTGAAGCTGCCACGTAGCTCGCACATGTCCCCATCCCCGAAGAGCGGGCCAGATGGGGGCTGCCTGCACTCGAAGTACTGGGAGCCGTCGCCGATGGAGCTGAAGATGCCACACCGCTCGCTCCTGCCCCCCTCCCCGAAGAGCGGGCCAGATCGGGGCTGCCTGCAATCGAAGTAAATAGAGCCGTCGCCGATGGGGCAGAAGATGCAACACAGCTAGCTCGTGTCCCCATCCCCGAGGAGCGGGCCAGATGGGGGATGCCTGCAATAGTAGTCTGCCGCAGGCTCGCCGATGTCCCCGCCCCCCAGGGAGGCACATCCTGGGCCATGCGGGGGGTCGTCGCAATAAAGATTAGCAGATTGCTCCAGCTCCAAGACAAAGCAATTATCATCGCTGAAATGAATATCCTCTAAGGGGTCGATATCTGTGTCATCCAGTGTTGTGCTACCCTCGCTTCGGCGGAGGAGCCTTGGACCGAGGTGGAGGTCCGCCAGGAACACCACCCCCAATGCCAGGCCCAGGAGGGGCAGCCGCAACCTCCACATCAGCAGGGGACTTCGCCACTGGAGGTGCCTTTGCTGCAGACTTTTCCAACCGCTCACGGGCGGCCTGGACCTTGGAGGCACGAGCCTTGGCAGCTGCATCAGGCTGGGCTGGCTGCTCGGGGGGCGCGGCGGCTGCCTTGCCCTCCCCAACGCCAGTGGCGGGGCCCGCCGCGGCGCCGCCATCACCCTTCGCTGCCGCAGGCTGGGGGGCTTCACCGCTGCCTGCAGCGCCCAGCGTCGCCTCTGGGCCAGAAGCCTCCTCCATGCGCCTGCGCTTGAGGGGGGCCTGAGCTGCTGCCAACGTGACCCCCTCAAGAGCCTGCTGGACGGCCTGGATGACCGCCTTGGCCTGGTCCTTGGCCTCATCCATGGCCGTGAGGGCCATCTGCAGCTTGGTCTTTGCTTCGCCGTCCTCGCACTCATCAGCCGAGATGCTCTCAATTAAGCTTCTCGTCGAACGACGCCAAGAAGTCAGGAGCAGACGCTTCTGGCTTGGCCTTTGGAGCCGTCGGTGAGCGATACTTGTAGGCCAGCACCGCTGCCTTGTGGGCCTCCTCGGCGTCCACGAGCTCCTCCATGGCCTGGTCGTAGTCATGTCGCGCCTTCTGGAGGCGCTTCTCCAAGTTGCCGATATCCGAAGGAAAGTTGTGAGCGTTGGTAGCCGCCTGCTTCGCCTTGGCCTCCGTCGACTGGAGCTGCTCCAAGGGCGATCGCGACTTCGGCAACGCTGGCGTCGCAACTGCCTGCTTGATGGCGAGAACTGGGGCCGTAACCGAGGAATCTCGCTGCACAGGGGCCTCAAGCTGGCTGAAGAGCTTCGCCTTACCCCAAGGGGTGAAGGAGGAGGAGGAGGAGGAGGAGCACAATCATCAGAGGGGGGGATCCGTCATTTCTGCGCCTTGCGTGCCCGTTCGCGGAATCTCCACTCACGGTGCACTCGCCGGCCCCCGCGAGAGGCAAGAAAGGCTCAGCTGCAGGCACCATGACTCGAAGGCAGAGCGCGCGTGCCCTTCTACGCCACCCTGAGGAAGTGAGCCTGCACGGCCGTTCGATTCGCAGCCACCCCTGCCTGGCGCGCGAAACGCGCCCGGGGCGCCGCCGAGGGAAAGGGGGTCTGGCTCCGGCGAAAAGCCGTCCGCGGATGTCCGAAAGCGTATGCTTACTTGCGTGGCCTGCTCCGGAAAATACGAATCCAAAGAGGCGGACATCTGTTGGGTCGGCGGCGATAGGGCAGATAGCCCAGGGGCGGGCATCACACGCATTCGCCCGGCAGCCTTGTCGAAGACATAGATCATCGGCGCCCCTGGATACTCCAGATTTCGTAATAAAGGGAGGGGGCTCTCATTTCGGGGGGGGGTCTCTTCCAGGCTATCTTGGAGGGCCTGGGGGGTCTGGGGACGATGTTTCGGAGGGTTCTCCCACGGAGGAGGTCTGAAATGGCTTGTCTTGGAGGGTCCAGATCCCCTCCCTTTTATTACGAAATCTGAAAGTACATGTAATGCTCTCCCCTGGGCTATTCGCCCTTATCGTCGCCTCTGACCGCCCGCTTCCGCGGGCCTTCCCGCCCCCGCCATTCCGAGTGTCGCCTCCCGCGGGCCTTCCCGCCACCTGCCGCCGATCGGCAACCACGTGTGAGCCGATGGGCGCCCGCAGGCCTGACCTCTGAGACGCCGGCTGGGCTTCGGAGTTCAACCGATGTCTGCAGCCAAGTGAGCCCCAGCGGGGGTGTCCGATACCCCAGCGCCGAGTGGGCCCGTAAGGTTAGGGCTCGCAAGTGCTCGCAGAGCCGAGGAAGGGAAACCAACCCCTCCGCCCCTCGATGGCAAGGCCCTTTCAGGAGCGCTACGCGTGGTGCTCTGGGTCTCCAGGCTCAGCACTCCGACGTCGTGATTTTTTGTCACGGCGCGGACCACTGGAGGTGTAGACCCCGCCAACACTGGCCTTCCATCCTG